ACAACTAGGCGTAAAGCTTCTTTGTTTTTCTTTGGTGAATACTGCTCAGCAATTGGCTCAGTTTTGGGTATCAAATTCTGCATACATTGTTGCCAGCATCAAACAGCTGGATAGAGTAATTTTTGAGCTATAAAAATAAATGAGTTGTACCCCACCTTCTCCTCCACTACATCATCACCATCTATATCTACCAATTAACACAATTCATTTAAAAATTTCCATCATTATCCATTCCATCCATTCAAATTTTCAATTAAATTTTTTTATCCTTCCACACGCAACCATACAAGTTCATTTATTCCTCACTTTTCTTCTTCAGTCATTCCTCTCAAAACCCACAAAAAGCTTCAATTTTTATCTTTTCATTCATCTTCTCATTCCTTTTATTCTTTCCTCCAACAAATACCATGGCATCAAAGAACAAGAGTGTTGCCAAAAGTTCCCACCGACCACCAATGCCTCCACTCAGAGAGCCTTCAATACAACCATTACCCATTTCAAGCGATGAGCTAATGAGGTTTATGCAGCTTGAGCAGAAACACTGTTATACTGATGAATTTTACTATCGGGAGTTTTATTATAAACAAGGGTTCAACCTATCTTCAGTGGAAGATTTACAGTAGTTCGACTATATCACATATCCCATCGCTACACTCCATTGGGAGAAATTTTGTGAGCATCTGGGGGATATCGCTCAAGAATTAGTCTAGGATTTTTATAGCAATCTTACTGATGAGAAGAATTCACTAGTTTTTGCTCAAGAAAAAATGGTCCACTGGTTTGCAAAGCCGATTAATATGATGTTCGGTATCAAGGATGCTACCTATGAACTTATAACATTCGTGGATAATTTGACCAGTGTTATGATGGAACAAGTCAGCATTGATGTTTGCTTACCCAGAAAATCTTGGGATAAATCAACAACATGAGTATATACGATGAAACGACTAAGTTTTTATAGGCCTACATGGTATGGTTCACTTTTCTCCACACGTTTAATGCTTATTGTGTATTCTTTTTTGAATTTTATTAATCCACTCTATATTGGTTGGAAGAATATTGATGTCAAAAAAATCATATCAACTGAACTCTTCGCTTGTGCCCTAAAAAATCATGACATATATTTTCCCCTTCACTAATTACTTCATCTTGCCAACAAGCACAACTTCCTCGTTTGTCTTATAATCATGTATATGCCAACTGGAGTCTTATTAGGCTAGATTATATCAAAAGAACATTGATGAATGAAGGGTCGGACTCAAAACAACATAAGGAGGAGACATTTGGTGAAGTTGTTGTTAACACTGCTCAAAACGCAATGCTGGAAGCAAATCCTATTTTATTGGAATTACATAAGGCCATGGTATCGATGGCAGCCGAACAAGATAACATCATGTCCATTCTCAGTCACGTGCTATAAAATCAATAACAAATGCACAATGCTCAAGTGTAGTATTGGCGATATGCCAATGACAGTGACAAAGCAATTTATCAATCCGTAAGCAAGCAATTCAAGAAAGTCGAAGTTCCATTCCCCACATTTCTAATGCTGGTGCTAAATAACCTAGCTCGACCAGCAATGACGGATGTTGCAACAAGCTTTTCCATCTCTGAATATGGAGAGGAATATGAGGATATTATTGTAGATAAGGATGCTACTTCAGAGGAGGAAGAAGAAAGTACATATGAGGAGTAAGATGATGATAGTGTGGTTTATTCAGTAACATCTATTGATATTCCGGTTGCTGACTCTAAGGACATCAACAAAGAGGAAGTTAACAAGGAGACCATTAGCCACAAGGAATAGCCAAGGAAGAAAGATCAAGCTGTCCAAGAACTGTTGGACTTGAATGGTGACACAGTGATGAAGAATGCTGCAGAAACTGAACAGCAAGATCTTAATGTTGCTCAGATAATCAACAGTGTCATTGAAGCAATTGATAAAAATATTGAGAAACACTCTACCGCTAAAGTTGTTGGCGATACTAAGGAATAATTGGTGGAGCCCAAACTAAAAACTCCTATACCAAAATTGAAGGATGTTGCTACAGCATCAGCTACTCCTATTCCTGATGCTACTGTGGCCAAGGCCATGTCAACATCGATAATTCAAAAGTGAACGAGTTCTACAAAGACCAAATTCACTTCCAAGCACATTCAACCCACATAAGAGCCTGCAAAAGCCAACTTAGAGGACTATTGTTCCCCATTTCTCAGGAAACTTTTTATTTTTGTTTTCAGCATGCATTGAGGATAATGCACCCCTTAGGTTTAGGGGTGTGTTATCTAGTTTGTGTTTTGTGTTTTGTTCCTTTTGAAATTAGGTTTGCATTTTGTTTAGCTTTAATTTTATGAATTTAGTATTTTGTTATAGCGTATAGGAAATGCATTTGTGATGATACATGATTAGTATTAAAAAATCAATGAAGTTTATTTTCTTTTAGAAAATTTTTAATGATGCCCAATGATGAAAAATCTTATATTGTGAAATGCTAAGTGAATACTGTAGAAACTTAATAGAATTAGAGTTCATAAAAACTTTTCAACACTTTAGGTTTATGTTCTCAATACTTAGAGTTGTTAGAAATTCTTGAACCTTAAATATCATATCTTTATTAGATGTTGCAGTGAATTTTTTCAAAAAAATAAAAGAAATTTTTTTGAAATTTAGGAATAAGTTGGAAAAGTTGGTAATAGATCCAGCATAGTTTTAGGGAATAAGTTGGAAAGTTTACAATATCTCCAACATAGTGTTAGGAAATAAGTTGAAAAGCTGGTAATAGCTCCAACATAGATCTAGATAGATTGATGTAGCATTGAAAATCAATAATTGAGTAGGAACAATTTTTTCTAGTTTAGCTAAGTATTGAATGGATACACCCACCCTGCACACTACTACACTCTATGAATTTTGAATTTGCTAGGTTGAAATTGCATTCCTTAATTTAAGATCATATATTGTATGCACAGTTGCAGCAGTTCTCTGAGGGTTGAAAAATGAAATTGGAGAAAATTGATGATTGGTTTCCTGATATGTTTTTCTATGGAATTGCTTTTGTTTTTAGTAGTCATGCACGTCGTTGCTTGAGGACAAGCAAACACTTAGGTTTGCGGGTATGATAAATCTCCAAAAAAGTTATCATTTAAGATCTTTGCACCTAGATTAAGCTTGAACTTTAACATTATTATGATCATATTAGAATCATTTTTTATATATTTTTCATCATTTTCATCATGAGAGTAAGTTGGTGGAAGTTGGCTTGATTTTAATGTTTTATGCTGAAATTTGGTGTGTTGATGTTGGGCATTGATTAAAGCTACAGATAATGTTGTATTGCGATGCGACGCCAAATTGCTGAGCATATCATACAGAAAACAGTGTCTCATCATGTGATTTGAAGAACCTTCTAGAATGAAAACTAAAAGAGGAAAGTTGTAAAGGGATCTAAAACCACCTGAAATGTGGAGAAAAATCATTGGTTGAGGGCATATTTCCTTGACCTATAAATAGAAGAGTACCTTGCACCATTAGAATCATCGAATTTCATTCATCTCCAATATTTTTCTCCACATTCAATCCACGATGGCAGCAGCAATAACAGAGCAGTGACTGATCAATGTTCAACATTTCATTTGTGATATTGACTTGAGAATGGAAATACACTTTGCTACGTTGAATGATTAATTTTCTATTTTTATTTGGTACCGAACACAAGGTGTTTGGTGAATTGCTTGATTCTTGGTTTTTGTTTTAAAATATATGTTTACAGTTACATATTTATTGGATGATTATTAGAGATAATTACATCTTTATACATGTTATTCTTGTTTTTAGAAATAAAAATTATTGAGATTGCATGCTACTTTTGTCCCATCAATGGTGTTTGTGAAAGTAAATAATTTCATATAAAGATATATGATTCCAAATGTTATGTTCTTTTAACCAATTAATCTAAGGCTTTTAATGAGAATTAGAATCATTAGGTTAAGTGTTCATCGCTACAAACTCATAAATGTATTGTCACAACATAGCCATTTTGCCAGTAGCCAAGTAAATAACATCGTAGATCCATCGACCTGATTGCTCTATTGTTTGCTACAATATTCTCCTACTTTTATTATTTTGATTTCTTTACTTTGCTATTTGTTTTCTAGTTTAACAAATCAATCAATTCTCTAACACATAACTCTTTTTTAACTTGTTTTGCTCTCTGTGGGATTTGACACTTATAGATCTTTTGAGCTATCACTTTATTACTTAAATGATACATATACTTGTGTAATTTCTAGAGCATCTTACGTAGCATCAAGTTTTTGGCACTGTTACTGGGGAGCATCGGTTTTGCACTAGAGTTAGTTTTATCATAGAATTATTTGTTTCTTTTCTTTTTGTAGGTATCTTTTACATATTTACTAGTTTTTGTTAGTTTATGTCCCGTATTGACAACAAGCTAGAACCTTTCGATCTGAAAATTGAAAGAACATTTCATCGTCGTTGAAGAGAATATGTGAGAAATCAAGAACACATGAATGTTGGAAATGGTAACAATACCCTACCTCCACTCCAGCATGACGGGGAAATATCGGCTGCAGCAGGTAACAATCAGTGGCAATTTTATAACATGGATGACCACAATCGGCTTGTTCGAGAACATTTGGTGCCAACACTTGATTATCTATATCCTGGCATTGTGCAACCAAAAAATCATGCTGCCAATTTTGAGTTGAAACTGGTGATGCTTCAAATTTTGTAGTCCATGGGGTAATATAGTGGTGCACTCACGGAATACCCTCGAGCACATCTTCGAGCATTTATGGAAGTTTGTGATTCATTTGTTCAACAAGGAGTTCCTAAATAAGCACTAAGGCTGAATTTGTTCCCTTATTCGCCACGAAATAAAGCTAGAGCATGGTTAAATTAACTATCGCTCGGTGCTATAGCATCCTGGAACGATATAGGACAAACGGTTTTGTTGCGATTCAATCCAAATATGAATGCAAAGCTGTGAAATGACTTCACATCATTTAAGCAATTAGAGGATGAGAACTTATATGAGGCATGTGTGAGAGTCAATGACTTAATGTGGAAATGTCCAATGCATGTATTCCCACATTGGACACAAATGAAAATGTCCTACAATGGGTTGAGCATGCAAACTCGTATGGTGGTGGATGCTTCGACCAATGGAGCATTACTGGATAAGAAGTACAATAAAGCTTATGATATTATAGAGAGAATTATTACCAATAATTATTACCAATACCCCAATACAAGGAACATATTTGGTAGACGCAATGTTGCAGTATTGGATTTTAATGCTTTCAATTCCATGGCCTCTCAAATCTCAAAATTGACAGATATGGTTAAAAAGCTACAAAAGCCAGGGGAATTTATGAGGTAAAAGTTATATCTAGCTTTTCTTGTGTTTATTATGGAGATAATCACAATTATGAAGAGTTCCTTCAAAACCCCAAATCCATCTTCTATGTGAGGAATTATAATATGAATGACAATTCTTATGGCAATACATACAATGTTAATTACTGAAACCATCCCACTGTATCATGGAGGAATCAAATGTTTCCAATCCTCAGTAGCAACATTACAATCAACAATAGTTGATGCCACAACCTTAGATACAGCAACAGGCCACACAACCACAACATAGTTAGAATTATCAAGGACAATCTTCAACTCAAACCACTTATATTTCATCTCTTGAAGCCTTAAAGAAGAAGTATTTGGTGAGTAAATAGTCATCCTTAAGAGCTTTAGTGAATCAAGTTGTCCAAATGGCGAATGCTTTGAACAATAATCTATAAGGGATGCTGCCAAGAGATATCGATAATCCAAAGAGGCAAGAAAAGCTTAATGCAATGAGCATTGCAAGGCCATCACTACTTGAAGTGGTCTCCTCATTGGGAAACATGCTGAAGACCCCAAGAAGACAATTGATGAGGGGGCTAAAAACACTACAACAAATTTGTTTATTTGTGGTATTTAAAATATTGTCACTAAAATATACATTTACGCCACAATTTTTATTTTGTTATGTAAAATTGACGTCACGACAAACAATGCGTTAGGTGTGTCACTAAATGTCAAATGTGAATATGCATTCATTTTCGTCACCTATTATTAAACATATAGTGACATTAATATATAACGTCACCTTATAATTTACGTTCAATGTCAATTAATAATGTCATCAAATAATATAAAATTTCATCATTAATTATTCATATTGTCACTAGTAATATAATAATTTATTATAATAATGATAAAAAATGATCATCACAATTTTTATTAAAAAATAAAAAAATACAATAAAAGGCTAAACTTTTAAAATTTATAACAAAGGAAAAAAATATTTTAGAAATTATAATGAAGGGCAAATCTTTTTAGAAATTACAATAAGGTACAAAATTTTATTAAATTACAAATAAGGTAAAAAATATTTATAAATTACAATAAGGTACATAACTATTTCTAAATTATAAGAAAGTGCAAAACTATTTCGAAATTAAAATAAAGTACAAAACTATTTCTAAAACACAATAAGTGCAAACTATTTCTAAATTATAATAAGTACTAAACTATTTATAAGTTATGATAAAGGTTTATCCAAATCCAAGCTACCACCACAATTCCTTATGCCTGCAACCCAAGCTTCATGCCGTCATTTTAAACACTGGAAAACAAAGAACAAAAAAACAAGGGCTTATCAAACTGAAAAAACCATAAAAGAAATTAAGCACGACAAGAATCTAGAGAAAAAATTGAGTCATTATAAAATATGATTAAAAAATTAAGTAACCTAAATGATAAACGAACTAATGAAGATCAAAGGTGATGTTCTTCCTCAGTGAATTGATATTTTTAAAGCTTTTAATTAAACTCTACCTATTTTCTAATTTCTCTTGCCCATATCTATGAGATATAAATTTTTTTTATAAAATATAAAATGAAAATCCTAAAAAATTGGAGATACCAAACAATATCCAAAATCTGGAAAATAACAAGTAAATCAAACAACAAGATTATCTGAGAAACAATGGCCAAAAGCAGTACAAAACCATATTTTTCAATTAAAAGTCAGTACATAAACTATAGAAAACCACATTAGGCTAGATCAAAAAAGTTTTTGTATAAATGAAGATGAAGAACATAAGAATTGCAAGTCATGTTTATAGATGTTCGTTGTTTAAATTTCACGAAAGAAAAGATAAGGAAACACCATAGTTAATATGTTAGTAACACTGCAGTTTAATCACTAATAACGTCCATCAAAAGTTAATACACCATCTGACAAGTTTAACCATAACATGAAAATTGATGTAAGAGAGCTATACGAATTACTTAAAGCATACCAAAATGATACAAAAGGCTTTCACTGTACAGACAAAACACGTCCTTGCCTTCTTATTAATACAATACTAAACCTAAACCAAAAATAACCTTGTATATCAATTAAATTAATGTAAGAGAGTTGTACATATGACTAAAGTAATGTCTCATCACCTCACTGCAACTATAGTCTTCATTTCACAACAGAATTTTTTTTTCCAAACAACTACTTTTCAGAAATAATAGATTAATCTGAAAAGACCTAAAACTAAAGATTAAAATCAACGTAAGAAGAAACACGATGATGATAATTAATCTAATAAGAAATTTTCTGACCTTTGCGAACCAAGAAGCATTGTCTCATGCCCAACATCCATCACCGTCCACTTCCCCAATCCTACTCTCATCATCATTCAAAATCACTATCGCTCAAAAAAAAAAAAACTCCCACAACAATGTCATACTATAAACCCGAATTTGCAAAAAGAAAAAAAGAAGAAAATTCAGAAACAAAAAGAAAGAAAGAAAAGGGAGAATCGAAGAAAAGTGGAAAGAAAAATTTTCCAAATCAAAATCGAATTGTTGGTTCAATTAGGAGTGAGTATTCAACCAAATTGAGTTCAATTAAAAAATATAAGTTGATTAGTGTTATTTTATAACTGAAACTTTATTTGAATTTTTTAGTTAAATCGAGTTGTTTGAGTTTCTATTTAAATTTAATTGTAAATATTTACGATGTTTTGGAACTAATTGTTTCTATTTTAAATACCCTTTTACAGCCATTTATGTATACAAGTATAATTATTTTTTCATATGCTATACGCATATATCATGGAGAGTTTATGACTCGGCTCGAACTTGAAAATTAATCTATTAATTACTAAAAATTTCAAATTATTCGAGTCTTATTTTATAACAAAATATTTATTGAAATATTTTCAAGTCGATTTTATAAAATTATAAGTCCAGATTAATTGAATAGATTTTCTTAATATCGAGTCGAGTAAAAATTGATTTTTTGGAATAAGTTCTACTCATAATAGGTTGAATAGTTAGGTGTGTTACAAAGCGTGGTTTCGAGCTGTGAAATGTATATTTTTTTCAATTTTAAGCTAAAAGGGTAATCTTAGAGGTTTTATCCTTGAGTAGTTCAGAATGTACACTAATGGCCTAAAAATTCTAAAAATTATGAATTGACCACATAAACTTACAAATTTTCTAATTTAATATAAATTTCAGAACTAATATATTAAAAATCAAATTTAAACCCAACAAATTCTTTTAACCCTGATTTTGAGATGTGACATATATGATTATCTCATTAGCATTCGACTTCAACATGATCAATTAAAAATTATTTTTTAACGATAAAAGGGATCTTAAATACACAATTATATATATATATATAGGTCGAAAGGGTAAGATTAGAGATTCAATCCTTGAGCAATCTATAATTGACATTAATGAATTGGAATTTCTAAAAACCATGAGTTACCATAGAAACTTTACGCTATTTTTAATATAATTTGAATTTTAGAATTAATATTTGAAAAATTAAATTTAAACCCAACAAATTCTTGTATCTTCATTTTAGCATTCGATTTTGACATGATCAACTAAAGATTATTTTTTTTATCGATATAGAGATCTTTAATATATATATATATATATATGTATATATATATATATGTATGTATGTATGTATAAATAAAAAAATATTATATATATACATATAAATATATAGAACACATGCGTTTGAAAAACCTAAAAAAACATTTAAAAAATCATTAATAATAATATTTTTGAATTAATAGTACATCTAAGATGTCACTAAAAAGTTTTCCCACATTTTTTTATTTTTTTGAGCCAAACATTAAATGACACAATTTCTTGATGTCTTTTAAAATCATCATATAAAAAACATGAAGTTGTGACAAATAAGTTTTGGTCACGTTAAACCTATTTCTTGTGACACCAATAAAGTGTCATCTTTTATATTATGCCAAATCAAATTATCATAAAAAAACTTATTTGTGACACATTTGTAACGTCGCTAATTCAAATGATATTATCATAGTAAAAAATCGTCATTGATACTTTCATTTAATTAGAGACGATTTTACAACGTCGCCATTTTATTTAAACGTAATTGAAGGATTTCCCACCAAATTTTTTGGAGGTAAATTTTGGCTCCAAACATATAGTGACAAAAATCATTGACCATTTTTACAATTGTCATAAAATATATATCATCAATCACTAAATGTGACGAAAAGTTTAAAAAAACGTCACCTTTATAGTATATTTTGTGACGTTATGTGTATCGTCATGTAGAAATTTCATCATAAATTTATAATTTTTTGTAGTGAAAGCATGACAAGGACAATAGCATGAAATTCGATATTGAATCGCCCACTATTAGTGTCATAGCAAGAGAAGAAGGACAGTGTAGTAATTCTCGACCATTGCCAGCAGTAATGCCTACCACAATGATGTCTCTCGAGCCCCAATGCCTGCGATGTCTCAACATTCTAGCCAAATTTCTTAATAAATAAACTCAAAGTTTATTATAGGTCTAAACTTTAGTGATATTTCTTGAAATAACAAAATTAATATGCTCACAACAAAAATGAGAAACATCAAACTTTAATAGAGTTTCATTAAAATCATTCTTATAAAGAAAATTTACAAAGTAGAAACAAGTCCCATAGTGACAACATGATCCTTAAATATATGTGGTGCCATGCCTTTTGT